CGCATCCCACGCCCCCCACCTGATGCCACCCTTTTGTCTATCACTCGCCAATTCTGCAATAAGGGAGTTATGAACATCAAAGAGGTGGTGACAGAGGAAACCCTTGCCGGGTTGGGGTTTGAGTTTGTTCAGGATGAGCTTCGCCACCAACCCGACCTACTGAGGGACATCCCCGGGGGGCATCAGCCTGACCAGCTGAAGGACATTCCTGAGGAAGGTCTTGACTGTGGTCCTTTTGGTAGGTGACCTTTTCTTTTTCCCAGATGTTTAGTTTATCTTTTCCCAAGGCTGACCATTTCCTTTGTTTCCAGTGGAATTACAAGATTCAGGAGAGGAGATGGACAGCGATCTCCTGCTCAGTCGCTTCACTGCAGGGAGGAAAAGGAAGAGAGAGACGAAGGGCCAGGGCAAACGTTCTTCATCCCACCACGAGGAGAGTCCTTCTTGAGAGCCGGCCGTAATTGTGGTGGAGGACCAAGAAGATGCTACCCAGGAACCGGGTACCATGGCTGGCCAATCCCCTCCACATCCCGCGATGCAGGGTGGCGACCTCGTTGGGTTGTCTCAGGGCATTGCCTTGGAGCGACCTCCCTCACCACCCGCAGTGACCTACGAGGTGGCGACCGGGGGTCGCTCGACGAGGCTCTGCATCCCTCCCCTGCCCCAAAGCCTAGGGGACGTACAGCTGGAGACTCTGATTACTCTGCCTGTAGAAGACCAGGCTCGTATCTCAGCAGGCTCCGAGGACGACCTTGACAACATGGTCCTTTTGAGGCTGAGTCAGGTACTGGTCTTGATCTCCTATGCATCACTCCTTTTCTTTATGCCCCAAACCCTCACCCCTTTGCGCAGGCTACACTGGGGATGATTGAGGTGGTCGGCCGGAAACGGGGTTGCCAGGCCTCCGCGGACGAGGCGATGAAAGCAGCTGAGGCCAAGCAGAAGGAGCTGCAAGAGGAGGTCGCTCGACTCACCAGGGAGTTGGAGGAGAAAGAAAATCGCTGCGCGGCGCTTGCTGTGGAGAAAGCTTCCCAGGAGAACCGCTGCGTCGCCCTTGAGGCAGACAAGGCCTCCTTGTCCTTGGAGGTAGAATCTGTTTCTGCTCGAGTGGTCGAGTTGGAAGGGGAGAAATCTGATCTGATCCAGCAGTTGGAGGTGGAGAGGAGCGATCGGGTCCGCCATGCAGAGGGAGCGGTAGAATCCTTCAAGTCCTCTCCTAACTTCACGGTAGTCGCGATGGAGCGGATGGAAGAGCTAACGGCCACTTGGCTCAAAACTGAACCTGGGGCTCAATGGATGGTCAAGGAGGGAACCAAGTCCTTCAATTGCGGACTCTTCCACGCCCAACAGGTCTTCCACGACAGGCTGGCCCAGCTCCCCAAAGGATTCTCTCTCCCCGACCTTGGCTTCCCTCCTCCCTTCCGCTCCTTGGCCGAGTTCGACCCCAGTCCCTATCTGGACGGGGGGAGCTCGAGTGCGTCGGAAGAAGAGGAAGAAGAAGAAGTGGAAGGTGATCAGAGCGACCAGAATCCAGGGGCCAGCTTAGCCATGTCCAAAGCGGGTGGACCTTCCGGCTCGGCCGTCTAAATCCCCCATTGTTCCCCCATAGCTTTACCAACACTTGCCTCTCTCTTTTCCTTCGGAATGATTTGTCGTTTTGATACAATGCTCCTATGTTGTTTGATTTTCTAGATTCACCATGTGCTTTCTCTCTTTGGCGCTTTACTTC